CTATGAGGTCCTCCCTACTCACCAAATACAAATACAGAAGGCCACATTCAAATACTATGTTGAAATCTATGTCACATGATAGTCCAGTTGACTGATGCCCGTTTCCTTAATTACACTTAATTTTTTAGGAAATTCTTTGCAAGTTTCATTTTTTATAACTAGTTGAAACAATTATGCATTGAAATTTTCCTAAAAGCAAAGAATTAGATCATTTCAAATTCTCATTTAGATTGATAGCACAATGGATATTAACAATGAAAAATTACTCACCTGAAATTCTTCTTTTTTGAAACTATTATTTCACAGAATTCTTACTCTTGGGTCTTCTGCTCCCAGCACAAGACAGGGCAGAATTTCCCAAAGTTCAAAGCTTTTGAGTGCTCAAAGGCTGCAGTAGTAGCAGCAGGACTATCCACCTAAGCCCTTCTCACTGATCATGGTCCAACAAACTGCCATTACCTCATTTCCTAGAATCTTCTAGTCAGCTCTCTAATTGTGGAGGATAAATCAAGACCTCTCAAACTAGTCACAGGTGTAAAAAATTAACCACAAAAAAAAAAAAGCTAAAAAAATGTTCTTAGGGAAAAAAAACCAAACCAGACAGACACATTCTCTTTCTCGCTCGCTCTCCTTTAGAAAGGCATTATCCCATAGGATTCTCACTCTGACTCAATGGATGTCTCAAAATAAAAGTAGTAATACTATAACAGGCACCGCACAAAAATAGACAAATGACCAATATTCTAACTTTCAAAAATTCGCCAATTCAAATATGAGACGCCTGAAGAGAAATAAAACTAATAGAGGGTGAGCGAGTTTGGTCATTGGCTCAACAGAACTGAGGGACAGAAACTCCATCCACTGTAGTTGAATCTAGGCAACAATGCTTTGTATGATGGTTGCTGCCATGTAGCTGCTTTGCATATGTCAAATTAAAAACAGACTCAGGCTGGCATCAGAAACTGCCTTGCCTCACATTGTACAAACTGTGCAAGGGGTGGGCTGCAGGCCTGCCCGGTGTCGTTTGAGCATTGGCCTGCTAAACCCAGGGTTGTGAGTTCAATCCTTGAGGGGGCCACTTAGGAATCTGGGGCAAAATCAGTACTTGGTCCTGCTAGTGAAGGCAGGGGGCTGGACTTGATGACCTTTCAAGGTCCCTTCCAGTTCTAGGAGATAGGATAGCAATAGGAAATACAGTCTGCCAGCCATTTAGATATGGTACCTGTGACAGAAATTTTGTCTGCTACACGTAGAATCCCAAAAGCCTTCTAATGTGACTTGTGGAGAAAGACCTCACTAAAACAGACATGCAAATACAGAAAAAGTGCCAGGAGAATGATTGGCTCAACAGGGAGGAATTCAGTTACCATCTTTGGAAGAAATATTTGATGAATTAGCAATACCAACTGTATCTCTTGATATTTGGTATAAGGTAGATCCAGTCATTACAGCTGAAAGCTCACCCACTTAGCAAGCTAATGCCACTGCCACCAGGAAAGTTATCTTCCACATAAAAAATAAAAATCTTGAGCTCACAGGCAGAGAAATAGCTCAAAATCAGCTATCATTAGCTATGTCCAAACCACAGTAACAGGCCACAAAATGGGGGAGGAGCGAAAGGGAGGAGTGTCAAATGTGTGAAGCTTCATATTAATCTGATGACTATGGGTTGCAGACAGATTTACGTTCAACTGATTTACAATGGGCAGAAAGAATCGTCAAATTGAGAGAAATGCAATTAGACTTTAATTCAGAAAGACAAAGGTAATCAGGCATGTATAGAGGGCACTTAAAAGCATCCATATGTGCCTGTTTGTATTTTCAACTTAGAACTGTAATTCCATCTGTCACCATCTGAAAGCGTAAGAACAACTTGAAGCACATAACTCAAGAACACTGAATCTCAGGAGTTCCTTCTTGCCAGGAGTGAGGCAAAGAGAACAAGATGACCCCTTGCAGCAGACATGAAAACTGTAACTGCTTGGGGCAGTGTGGGGCACTTTCAAGAATACTGAAACCTTATCTCTTCTGAGGTTGGCCAGAATCTTTGCAAGTACTGATGGAGAGCAGAGGTACTGATGGATAAGCATATAGGACCCTCCACATTCACAGTATGGAGACGGGATCCTGACAAATATGGTCATCTCCTGGTATCATACGGAGAAATCCTTGATCCAGGGACCACTTGTAGCATATGTTCTTCTCCAGGAAAATGGGAAATCCAAGACAAAGCCTGCTTTTGCATCTACTATGCTTCCTGACACAAGAGCTGCAATCCAGAGGTCCCTGCTTGCTTATACAGAAATAATAGCCTATTTAAAAAAAGATCACCTTTAAGATTCTGAATGTCTGAAAATCCTTAGTCCATTCCAGGGTGACTACATCTCTCACACATTATAAAATTACATTAGTTAAAACTGGAAATCTAGTCCTAGCCGAAGAAGATCCATAGCCTATCATCAGGGAGGAGTTGCCCTGAAGTTATCATTCAGATGGGATGGGAAAGTCCCTCTGGAACTTGCTTCCACTACGATTTAGGTTTTAATGAGGTTATCCATATGGAGATATGTCACAAGTACTATGCATACAGTTAGAGATAACCATAACACTCACAAGTATGGTTCAAAATGACCAGCTATGACAAATCTTCTTACTAGACGTATGATGTCCTCAAATGGTCTCTGAGGGACACCCTGGGACTTAAGAATTCAGATAGGGATGCCAAAACCACGGTGTTGACAAACTATTTTGGGGGCTCCTACATGGCAGTATCCTTGAATTAGCCCATCATCCAGAAGGGGAGACATATGCACTCCAGCCTGGCTCCAGGTAGGCCCCGACTACTGTCATTAAAATATGGAATACTCATACAAGTCTCAATGTCAATACAGAGAACTGGCCATTCTGTTCCTCTATAAATCTTAGGGTATATCTACACTACAATCAGATACCCACAGTTGGCCCGTGCCAGCTGACTCGTGCTCAAGCTAAGACATTTGGGCATAGACATTTGGGCTTGGCTGGAGCCCAAGCTCTGGGTCCCTCCCCCGCTCACAAGGTCTCAGAGCCCAGGCTACCTCCTGAGTCCAAACATCTACATTGCAATTAAGCAGCCCCTTAGCCCAAGTCCCGTGAGCCTGAGTCAGCTGGCATGGTCCAGCCTTCGGTGTCTAACTGCAATGTAGACGTCCCCTAAGACAATGTTTGTGACTGAAATGTATCACTTTGTGCATGTCAGCATCTGAAAGGTCCGGAAGCCTTCCTCTAAAAGAGACATGATAGCTCAGAGTACACCAGAGTCTTGTCTCAGTGTTTTTTCACTTCACTTCAGTTGCAGATATGATCCAATCCAGAGGTGGTGATAAAAACATAGATCAGCATGTCCAGAATCTATTCCAAGAGGAAATGACATTTTCATGGAAAACAAGTGGTAGAGGAGTGCATTTTTCACTATTTATGCTATCTGAATGAGTGAAGTTCCATAGGGCCAGAGGCTTCATAGCACACATTCTTGTCAATACCTCACCATTTTCTTCACAACACTCAGATAAATACCATCTCTTCCAAGTACATCACTTGAGTTTTTCAAATTGCTCTTTAAGTTCCTTACTAAGTCTTCAATTTCTGTTAAGGTCACATTCTCATTTCCTTTGAAGTGTGCCACTGGAAAATTAATTTCCCATTATCTTCTATAGTAAGAATGATGGAAAAATCATTTAACAACTTCACTATCTCATCATGCTTTTCAACTGACCCCCAGGCAGCCCACTAGTTTTTTAGAAGGCCTCGTCACACAGTCTTCTTACTTCTAATGTACTTCAAATGTATTTAAATAAGGGCAAGTCATTTCTTGTTCTCTTTTGTCTCCTTTCCAGTCAATTTTCAATTTAGCTGGCACAGTCTGTGATGCTCAGGACAGATTTTGGCTTTTTAAAGGATTTTTTTTAACCCAATACTTTAACACTAAAAACTGTACTCATTCATTTTACTTACACAGTGTGGTCCTGATATCTGATTGGGCCCTATAGGTGCTACCACAACACACAAAACAACAATTATTAGGGTATACATTATCTCTGTATGAAAAAGATTACTCTCTTTAAAAAGCAGGGGAAGAGTTTAGGACATTACTAAGATTAGCAATGTCTTATACTAACACATTTTTCAAATATCTCTTGTAAGCCACACAGGATAAATATGAAATTAAAGAATCAGGGTTAGCTTAAATTTGGTTAAGGAATACATGTGCAGTAAAGAAAGGCCCTGACTAGCAAGTTGAAGGCAGAGCTTGAAAATACTAAATTATAAGGCCAGAAAGAATGATGTAGAGAGGATGTCTGGTTCAAAGAATAACTAATAAGATATGGGGAAGTTTCTAAAAAGAAGGCCTCTGACGTTTAGGGGGGACTGCGGATGGTTTTAAATCAGACAAAAGGAATCTGTCTTAAAAGAAGCCAGCATAAGCCTTCCCACCCTGCATACTGGTGTTAAAGCCTACATAAATCGAGATGCAATGGAAAAACTGCTCGTCAGCAAGAAGGAGGGGAGGAAAGGACTTGGGAAGAAAGGAGGTTGTAAATCTTATGTGGATTAAGACTAGAACTAAGGATGAATTGTCTCAAACTGTTTTTTTATCTGAAGTTAGTAATTGGCAATGACTTTACATGATTGTTGAAGGGTATAAAAAAATTAACTCTTAAAGGGTTCATTGCTAAATAACCATGTTGGAATCAATATGGATGTAAGCATCCTGGGGTTTAGCCCATTTGCAAATAACTTACTCAAATGCTTATAAATGTTTTGTTACTGTTTGGATGTAGTAAACTGCTTATTATTTATGCGTTTTAGGCAAGTTTAGAGCAATTGTATAAATACCATTTGGCCTTCAGATTTAATAAAGGAATGTATGGTTAAATCAATGTCATAGTAATACCCTGCACAAATAATAATAATTCCATCACCACAGGATATCACTAGCCCAAAAGTAATTTTGTACTTACCAATTTTGCTTGCTGTGCATTTACTGGATCACCATATTGCAGTAAAGCTTGAAATTGGTTATTCTTTGTGAATGTGATTATTTTCAACACAGCACCAAATTTAGAGAATATCTGTCAAAAATAACAAGACTATATGTATAGAAATGTATTACAAGTCATATAAACTAAAGTTACATAGACAACTGGCTTACTTGGTGAAGAACATCCAGGGTTACAGGGTAGTACATGTTGTCAATAATTATTCTAAGTACTGGACTCTGAGCTGGAGTCACGGCACTCTCACTAACAGTAGTTCCACTAATGGGAGTATTTGTTGTCTGTACTGCTGTCACTGCCTGAAGAACAGCCTGAGCCCGCTAAATAAAAAGAAAAAATATGTATTATAAACAAAGTATTTCAAGAAAAAATGTTCAGAAGCTTATAGATATATTCATATTGTTACTACCAATATATATTCAGTTACCTTTGGCACAATAAAAGTTCACCTCTTTAAAAATATACCTACTGACGTAACAATAGAATGATAAACATTTTAGATATTCCTTCAGTGGTATGGCAGCAAAACTAAACTATCTACTAGATCTAGACAATAAAGTGCAATGCCAAATTAGGATAGTATAATGGAAACCACCATAATCTACTACCAGGGGAGAAGGCAGTAGCACTGAAAATAATGATTGGTTCTTACTGAACAACAGGAAGTGGCTTCAAATGAAGCCAATATCTGGCCTTTCTAGCAGCAAGTATGGTGCTCTACTAGTAGGACAAAAAAGTGAGCTTTTGGGGGATTTCAGAAGAATATTTCCACAGGTTACAATGAGGAGTAAAACAACAACAAAAAACAAAACTACAGAATCATAATGTGATTTACTGAATAACTGAAGTTTTTTTTTAAATATTTCCAATATTCATATTAGAGTTAATCAAAACAATAGTGAAATATTAAGCAAAAGGTTCTGATAGGAAAAGATAATGCAAGTATGGTACTTCAAAAATATTCCAATTTGTGTTTTAATGAAATAATACACAGTAACTGAACAAAGTCAGAATGAAGTGGTCACAGATAAGCAAACTGCTGTTTGTATTATCCATCCTCTTTAAAAACAAAAATCCCAAGAGTTTCTTAAAGCAACAAGCACAGTTTTAAAAATTCTTACGATAATCACATAGTAACAACACATGAGCACACATCTACATAACTACTTCTATTGCCAATTGATCAAATTTTAAAAGGGTTAGATGATTTTCTGAGGAAAAAATGCATAAAAGATGGTTTTCATTTCATATGTTTTATTATAGTACCTTTAAGAAGTAAAACAATACACAACAGAAAAGACAGAAGTGTGCATGCCAGGAAAAAAAATCAATCAATCATCAACATATGAATGCACACTGCATATTCTAAAGGTATTACCAGAGACAATACACAACTGCAGATCCCACAACTTACATGATATTCCTCACACTGAAACGAATTAAGGAATAAGGAAAGTAAGAAAAAGAGACCTGGTGAACACTACTTGGGACAAGAAAGTTTACTGTATCATGTCAAGTATTAGTTAATGCTACTCTGACAAAAATATTTTGAAGACAATGTTAATTTCTTTTTAAAAACACATGAAATACATCACTTTTAACCCACTCAAACATTTGGTTGAGTTACTTCATTGTTTCAGTCTTCTTCTAATTTTTAAATAAATAGTAATGTGTCAATTAAAATGTATGTCTTAGAGTAATCTGGGGAAAAGTTTTTGCAAGTTCTGGTCCTTAGGTTGTACAACAAACTTTTACTCACACAAGTGAGCTCAATCAGGACTATTCAAGTAAGTAAGGATTGGTCTGATCTGGCTTTCTACATCAGAGCCTGAAAACACTCTCTTCAGTGTGTGCTTATTCCTTACATTTAATTCCACTAAGGTCAACTGGACTGCATACCAGAGCAAGCATGATTGTTGGAATAAGCATTTGCAGTGTAGGGCCTACAGCTTAGAAATTACAAGAACAATGGATTGTTTTGGAGGAGGAAAAAATTCAGTTTAATTTTTAATATTTGTATAGAAACCCTACTTTTGAAGGTGTTTGAGAAAATGTAATGTTGAATAGGCAAAATCAGCTGCATATTTAACTTATGAAGTATTACATAACATTGATTTCTTTTCAAGTTTCATAATACTCTACCACATTTGACTATTTCACCTTTGATCCTAGGAACATCATAATACATAAGCTTATAAAAATACAAAGTCTATATTAAAACATTTCATTCTGACAAACTGACAATCAAGGAGATTCACAGTTATGGCAGTCATTCTGTTCTTAACTCACCTAGTTGTGCCTAGGTACTGCAGCACACAAGGTAAAAAATGTTTGTTTTAAATCTGAACTTTAATGTTATTTTGTTGTTCTGTTTACATGTCTTTTAGGACAAAATATCTTTACAAAATTATTAAAATGACATGAAACATTCAAATGACTTTTACATCTGTTCTTTTAGTCAGGCATAAACCTATTGTGATTAGACTTTTTCATAAATAACCATGTTGCTGACAATCAATCATGGGAAATTCATAGAGTCATAAATGCAACTTGTTTTTACTTTCAGAGTTCAAAAACTTGGCTGTTTAAGGTACCCCATCTTTTCTAATTACAGCTCCCTCTCTCATCCCTTTAGCTTAACCATTTGTACTTTTCACCTTTTTCATATTTCATCTTTGCAATGAATCTACTGACCCTCATTTTCTTTGCATTTCTCTGTCTCGAATGTAAGGAAAGGCCCATTTTAAAAATGAAACCGGCTAGCTTTCAAATGTAACCTTCAAATTTGGGTAACAAAATTATGTGGTGAATGCCTCACCAGACCAGACTTAATGGGATATTCTGCACATGACCTGCGAATAACTCCTTTTTAGTTTTCCAGCAGATTACTACACTGTCCGTCCCCATCATAGCCAACTGGCTCCTGCTCTGTATATTTCTCCATCATGCTGGTGATGTCACAGAATATTTACAGCATTGTACTGTCAATTAATTTATTATAAATAAAAAATGGTTAAAATAAGGGTGCTTGCAAGACTGAGCCAACTTAGTGCTAAAATAAAGGTGGTATGGAAGCAAGGATACTGCCAAAAGGCTGACATTGCCACAGGACCCCAAAGAAAATGAAAGGCAAATACATGACTGATAGTGTTCCTATTGTTTAAAGTTGTACATGAATCCACCACTTATTGCCCACGCTGGTGGCATGTTTTATCATTCCCTTTACAAACTTCATTCCATTTACCTTTAAGTACCCATTTCTTACAGCTGGCACTTTTTAAACGTACAATTTAAAATATTTCTTTAATGGATAGGAGAATACTCAGAGCTCCAAAAGATCTAGTATGTTTGTAGTGCCAGGCAGGGAAATTAATACTGAACTAAATTTTAGCAGAAAGCAAAAATATCAACCAGAGGGTTCCAGAAAACTTCTCTTAAAAACATAATAAAAAAAATAATTTGCCATTAACACACTATTATACTAGAAATGACTTAAAGTCATTTCTAGTATAATAGAGAGTAATAGAAACTGTAGATTGTCACAACAGACAGCATTAGTCTGATCGAAAAGGGAACACAAGAATGAACATGAATATATTAACATTTGAACAGTGAAGGGTCAATGCTTCTTTTCCCCATTCTTTGTAGGATACAGCAACCTCAAATACTAAGAAGACCTTTACCGCCCCTGCTATGTTATCGTTGAAACAGTTCCATGTTCTATTAAAAAAATGTATTACAACTGTTTTGAAAGAATAATCGGTTCTACACACATCCAAGATCAAACAACAAAATTCTCAGTTACTGAATACATTTTTCCCAGGGTGATCATTAATGCATTTTTCTTCAGGAACTGTCCAGTGGGAAGAGCAGACCAAACAAACTGAGGTTATCAATACTATCGAATTTATGATTCAAAACACTGGGAGTAGGACTCTGCATTAGTGATGGGGCAATTCCATATGGTACTGAACTCTCAAATGTGCCAGAAGCAAGAAACTTAAAGTTTTAGTCATGTAACTTCTAAACCAAGAGTCAATATTAAGACTTACTTTATGAAAAAAATTCAAATTTAAATAGAAACAATTAACCATGAAATACATTAATAAAATTCTAACATGTAATTGCAACATGTATAATTCCAAACTCTATGTCTTTTATAATATCTCAATAAACTGCAGCTATTAGAAATAAAGTTTAGTTTATACAAAAATATATTCATGGCTACATAGTGTATAGTTGAATGTATGCTAAGCTTAATTTGCTATTGTATGCATTCGTTATACTCCATAACAGTAAATATACCTGGTTTAGTGTATTATCAGTCTTTAGCTCTTTATGATTAGAATACTGAATATAGATGGGTTGGTTACGAAGATGAGGTGTCACAGCAGAATAGTAATTAACCATAGTGATAGCTGCTTCTTCTGTTGCCAGCTCCAAAAAAGCCTATAATGTAAGAATTAAAAAAAAAAATAGTATTTACACACTATTTACACTTTGTATTGCTAGAATAAAACACATTCACATAATGAAGGGATCTGATAAGATTTCTAGTTTTCATGTTTTGCCCCCCCAAAAACCCAAACAAACAAACAAAACTAAGCTCTCTGGAATGGGTCTGTAGTTGGCAAATAAACCCCATATCTTCAAAGACATCATTTTAAGTCTGCCCAGTTTAGCAAACTGGGGTTTGTGCACATAAAATGATACCTTTGAAGAGGTTGGCCTAAACAGTTAGCTTGAAAGCCATATTTTTTGAGTGTCATCTGCTCTGAACTATTAGCCTGTCACTGCTTTCTAATATAAAATAGACTAGAAATAGTATGGAGCACATGAAAGAGGAATGCAAATTGAAAGAATGCAAGGCTTTTCATTTTAATTATTTACCATTACATCCGGATTAATCTCAGTAAGATTTTACCAGTATATTTGGAATTAAAAAATACTTAATCATTGTACTATAAATGGAACTCTGAAACAAGAAGAATACCTGATTTTTTCCTTTTAGCATCAGGATGTTGGTTACCTTACCAAAAGGTAAGCCTAAAGCAATAACTTCTGTTTCTGTCACTTCACCAGGCAATTTCCTGATATGAAGAACACGAGAAGGAGCCCCATCCATTTTATCCTCTGCTTTGAATTTCTTGTTGTCATTACCATTGGCTGAAAGACATTTTTAAACTCCATTTCATATTTACAAGTCAGTAATATTTTAGAAAATATCCACATAAGCAAACTTTTCAAATAAGATGCGCTTTGTACTTGATGCTAAATATTCAAGTCATCATGTGAGCTATGCATCCTTCCATTCATGTCAGCAAAGCCATTTAACATTTACCTACAATTTCTAAAGGAACTAACAAGCAGATGAAAATGTGAAACTGTCAGAGGTCGTATGACCAAGTTTGTGGAGAACAAATGTGATGCCAGAGGACCAGAGACAAACCTATGTAATTGATAAACAAGTCCAGTTAATTTCACTTTGATTGTGAAAAAAACCCTAGAATAAATCGATAGGCAGGCACTTATGTAAAAAAAATCCTCTCAGAGCCCAGCCTGAGTAATAAGAGTTGTTGTTGGAGAATTCCACAAAGGGAAGAGAATGGAGAAGTCCACCATCTTCAACTCTTCAGAGAAGTGAGGGTAGCTCTCAGTCATAACTACAGCATTATATTCATATATTAAAGTCAGAGGGAATCATTAGGCTCTCTAGTCTGCCCACATGTATAAAATGGCCATAGAATTTCACTCATTTACCCCTGTACTGAGCCCAATAACTCGTATTTGATTAACTCATAAAGGCATCCAGTCTTGATTTAAAAACATCAAAAGCTGGAGAACTCCACACTTCATTTGGTAGTTTGTCCCAATGAACCTCCACTGTTAAAAATTTGTACCTTATTTCTAATTTGTATTTGTATGGCTTTAACTTCCAGCCATTGGTTCTTGTTATGCCTTTCTCTGCTACACTAAAGAACCCTGTAGTGCTTTATAGTCTCCCTGTGAAAATACTTATACACTAATCATAGACTTTAAAGTCAGAAGGGACCATCATGATCATGTAGTCTGACCTCCGGCACAAAAACTTACCCACCTACACCTCATATCACCTCTCATTTTCTTTATGATAAATTAACCAGATTGAGCTTAAGTCTCTCACAGTAAGGCACTTTTCCAGGCCTCAAATTGTTTCTCTCTCTTCTCTGCACCCTCTTCAATTTTTCAACATCCTTTTTAAAATGTAAACAGCAGAACTGGATGCAGTATTCCAGTAGTGGCACCCCCATTGATGGGAGTGGGAAGGGAGAATCCACACAGTAGTAGATGCTTTGCCCCGACCTCTGAGGGTATGTCTGCACTGCAAAGAAAATCTCATGCCTGGCCCATACCAGCCGACTCGGGCTCACAGGGCTTGGGCTGTTTCACTGCTGTGGAGACTTCCGAGCTTGGGCTGGCGCACGAGCTCTGGAACCCTTCCACCCTTCAACTAGGGCCATGAGCTATTCTGGTGTCTATACAGAGAATTATTCACTAATAGGACAAGCAGTAATACCAGAGCTAAGAAAAAAATATTTGTAGGGGTTTTCCCCCCCAATGAATAAAAATTAAGCTGGCAAAACTCCTGAAATTAAGCAAGTTTAAAAAAAAAATCATGATTACTCTATGAAAATTTAGTGTAAAAGACATTTTCTAATAAAATGCAAAAAAAAAAAAAATCAAGTTACATTGTTTCATTTTGACTGATTATGACTATGTACTATTGAGTCCAGTTTCCTGACTGTGTTAACAAAAGCTATTCTGACTCATTGACAGATGGGGTTTATGCATCATGGGTGGACTCTATGCCAGCCCATAAAGAGGCTCTGTCAGTGTGAACAGCAGGGAGTTGATGCTACACTTGTTGTAACGTGGGTTTCTAAGGGCCCAAAGTCTTTTAAGGAAAGTGTTAAATATCACTTCACGGATAGTAATTCCAGGGAGCATTATTTGACTTCATATGTGTTATGTGCCAAGTTATCATATTTATGCAGAAATATGCAAATTGTTGATCTATATTAATAAAGAGCATTTGTCAAACTTCTGAAAGTTTCAGGAAAATGAAAACTACTGTGCTCCCTTCAGTCCTACCATATGTTAAAAACATACCCATAATTTAGATTTTTTATTAAATTAAGCTACATCTTAAAATACATCTTTACATGTTTAATTAAAGAATAAAGTATATTCAATATGGGATGTTACGAAACGCTTGCATAAAATTATTTATTATTTAAAGTGGAAGAAGATTTTCAAGTTTCCAATAGTTTTACTTATTAGTGATTGTTTTATATTTGTTACATCTAAGTGGAAATTTTTTCTTTATACCAAACAACCCAATGTACTTTTAAATTAGTTAGCGGTAGGATGAAAGAGCTTGTTGTTTAGCAAGCACTCAGATTTTCATACATATAGTTTTCTCCTTTCTTACATGTTTTAATAAGCAGTAACATTATTAACAATGCTGACATTTAAACTACTATTACTGGCATCTGAGTTAGCACTGATAGAAAAGAATAGGGCAGTTCACACCTCAAAGTTTCATTTCAGGCTCTCTGCAAACTCAGGCAGAGATCCCTGCATTTGTTACAAAAATGTCTCATTTTGAAGGCTTTCTTAGCAACCAGAACAGCCAGAAACTAACTTTATTTGTTTTTAAGGACTATGAAATCTGGGACTGAAAATGAAATATGGGACTCGGGAGTACAATTGAGAGGTCAGTCCATACTCCCTCATCTCCAGCTAGTACTTCACAAATCTACAAGGGTACATGCAAAACACTTTGGAAACACTGTATTAAAGGAAATATAATTTTATTTTAACATTGTGTGCATATTTTAATTATTATTTTTTATTGATCTTGTAGAAATAGAAGGGTAAATTTAAGATTAGATTTCAAACCCAATATACAAACTTTTAGCCTTTCAAATGATTGTTTGCTCTCCCCACACTTTGAAGTTGCTTGATATTAGAGTTATATCTAGAGTCCTAAGTATAATAATGAACTTTTGTTCTGGTCATTTTATCTTTGCATAGATACTCTGTGAGAAATTCCAGGCTCCTGATTGTTTAAAATGAAAACATACAGAGATTCCCTTTAACTTGTGGCTCAGAGTGTGAAATGGATGGTTGTCTCCACCTCAGCTCATCAAATGAGGAGACTGTTGCATGTAACAACAGAAAGCAGTTTACCCAACACCTCATGGAAAAGGATGGAGTTCCAACAGATGATAAGAAATGCAGTTTCTCAAAAATTCTAATTTCACCTGCTAACAGAAAGCAGTGATGTCTTGCTTCTTCCCTCTCTTTGCCAGCCAGCAGAAACCAATGTGTTTTATATGAGTCATGGATTGAATAACACTGTCCTTTGTAAATTTTTACAAAGTATGTATTAAAGTGAACTTTCAAAATAAAAATATTGAGTTTGAAAATATGAAATTCATTCAGTTTTCAAAACAGTTATTAGAAGCATTTGGCACTGAAGGAAACCTCTCCACCTTACTCTGCATGGTCTCTCACTTACCTTTTTAAATGATACTTCTCAACAGGAGATAAAGTTTAATGATATATTGTGGGGGAAAAGGGAATGATGATCCCATTTTAATACATGAAAAAACAGATGTTGTTCAAAGCCGCTGGAAGGTGAACTCAATTATGGTTAGAAAATGTTCAATCATTTTAACAATGGTATACCTACGTAATCAACCACTGAATGGCTGTAGCAATTATGTACTGTGGCTCATCTCAATCACAGACAGATTAAGGAAACAACAGGCCAGCCTAAAAGGTCTTCCCTGATGCAACAGGCTAAGAAGTAAATAGGGGCAAGCCAGGAGAAATGTCAGTGTTTCAATTCTGCCAAAAATTACAATTACAGTATTTGGCACGTTAAATAGTTGACTGCCAACAGGCCTGTATTATCATGAAATCTAACTTTTACCAGATCTGAAAAGCCTAATCAGTTTAACCTCCTCCCCCACTGCTATTTTCTGGACAAGATAAAAATTAATGTTCACAAGGAAAAATGTGTGCAACTCACTGTGGAAAAGCATCATCCAAAAGGATCATCCAAATGATCATTGTTACTAAGCTGAATTATTTGTTTAGTATTATCCCTGTTCCCAATTCCAAACAAATCCCATCTTCAAAAGACACATCTACAGGATGGGAAAATTCCAAAGCTCTCTCTAGGTAAAATGTACTCAATATTCAGTTACATACCATTTAGTAATCTGTTAGTTAAAAGTAATCTCTACAATAGCCAAAATTATTATCACTTGGAATTTCACTGAACACCACACACCCACACACACACCCACCCCTTCTCAAAAGTACTGTCATCACTTTTCCAAATCTATACACAGAACTCCATGATGCTGAATAACCAGCAACAACTTAAGAGACTGATGGGTGTGCTATACATATGCTACTATTTTAAGTCTATTAGATGCATAAGACTCCTTGGGGCTTAATCCCCTCCCAAAGATTAGAAACGTTCTGTTTATTTAGCATAAACTGAGTTCTTGAAGTTGCCTGTTTAAGAATAGTCCAGACCTTTCACTCCTTCAGCAAGGTATTGATAATTCCTATGAAGGGCAAAACAACCACTTACTTTCTTTTAAGCAACCAAGAGGGTCAGGGATCAGATCCAAAGAACAGAGAATCATACACATCCTCAATAATAGCCATGTTAAATGCAACCAATAGATGACAGATCATCCGGAACATGTGGCTCTCAATCATACAGGCTGCAGAGACCGTCCTGGAGCCAACTCAGAAGTCAGAGCTGCTTTAGAAAGAAAACAGCTAATCCCAAAGCCCAGAATAATACCAAGCAATGAACAATGGGCCAACTTCATGTTGGAAATAGCTAAATTTGAAAAAAAAAAAAAATTACTAGCATGAACTGTCACTTTTCCTTTTTTGTTGAAGAATTAAAAAAATCCAATTTTGTAAGTGTTCTGAGGTCAGAGCAATCTATGTTAGACAAAAATGTACTCCATCAGTAAAACTTTCTTATGGCAACTTAATTTAACGTTACTGTGAAAAACTGAGATGTAATTGAAGATTTAATCTGAAAATTAAATTTAAAAAATTAGACATCTCCTTGCTATGTTGTGATACAA